AAGTGCCTTCACCAAGTAGTGTATGAATAGGGCGTCGATATCGGCCTCTTCAAGTGTGGGGAAGGCCACGACCGTGAGACGTTCTAAGTCATTGACCAGGCTAGTGATAGATTCATCCGGCCGGAGTTTACGGGAATGCAGTTGTTGTAGAGCGTCTCATAAAGTATGGGTATTGGATAAGAGGTTGGCTAAGTGGTAACAGAGGGTCTCAAATGGGGTCTCATCCGAGAGGCCTTCCTCGAGGGCTTTGGCCAAGTAATCGGGGGAGAGGCCCAGAAGGAGGAAAGGCGATCGGTCTGCTTCGTCCGTCCGCTTGAGGTAGAACTTGGCCAGACGCAGCCAAACCATAAAAGATTTGCTTCCGTCAAAGGTGGGGATATTCACCGGAGCACTACAAGAGGAAGTCAAGGTGGGCTGTGGGGCGGATCGATGTGCTGCCACCACTGTAGCAGTCTTGCCAGACTCCTGCTTGAGACTCTCGGCGGAGTGGAATTCTTGTGGTCCCAAATTGGGCTCCTGATCGTCAGCTACAGGTGTAGCGGCCGAACTGACCGGAGGCGGCAGATTAAATGTATAGTCCTCAGGTGGGTTACCTACTGGGTTAGACTGTATCACGATAGGTCGATATGAGTCTGAGAAAGGATTGGTCTGGGTGGAGTCTATTGGGAAGAATGGGTATAGCGAAGTAACTTCGGATCGTGAACTATCCGACGGCGAGGTATTCTGAAATAGAGGAGTAGTCTCCCAAGCTTCATCAAGCAAACGGGTGAACTCTGGTCCATCGAATCCATCAGACACACCGTTGGGATTCATTATGGTAGAAATTTGGTAGTAATAATGAAACTGGTTTATTAGCAGAACTGAAGTAGTATCAAAAGGGGTGCGTAACGAAAAACGGTATAGGGTAATCTAGCGAGTAACGTATAACACAAAATAGTTTCTCAGAACACGGTAGGTACGCGAAAAAGGTACAAACTAGAACAATGTGTAAATGCAGAGAGGAAAAATATGGTGGAATACAATGCCAAAACGAAGAGTAGAGAACAAAATTGGGAAGACTTATCCGCGTTGAAGATGGCGCCTGCCGCACGTTGAGTCCTGAAAGATCGAATTGCGCGGGGGTTAGCCCAATAAAACACACACGGCTCGGTTAGGGTCGCTATGTAGCGTCCGAACGGGGAAAACCAGACGGATTGCAAGATGCCGGAATCTGAATCAGAGGAGTTTGTGCGGGTTTGGATATTTCACAGAAGATACTTCCTAAAAGATTATCCATCTCGTCAAATGGGGAATTATGATTATCTCCAAAAGGATTCATGATGGATAATCAGAATGCTGAGGAATGAACAACGTTTATTGAGTAATAACGATCGGATAGAAAATCGTAGAACAAAAAGGTAGTAGGAAAAACGTTGGACTTAACAAACGCGGGGATAGACGGGCGAGGATGCGAGATAGCCGACGATGATTCAGCAACCGCGAGCCGTGACTCAGCCTACAAAACCAAAAATTGCCTTGGCAACCAAGAAAACCAATTAAAACAAAAAAGGGTCAGGACGGTTCGTTACAGCTACACGCCCCCCCCCTCCTAAGGGGTAGCACTGTCCTCAGTGCTGGTGTCGACTATGGGGGAAGCTACAGTAACTTCTAGGGCTACTGGGGGGACCTGGTCGGCTGGAACTATGGTTAGTTGATCAGGGGTACCTGGGGGACATGGGGGAAGTGGTCCGTGGTATCGCTTAAGCTCGTCAAAATGGGCAGTGAATGGAGGGCGGGAGGGGTGGTCAGTCTCACAGAGGAGGAGTGTGGTAGGGGATTTGATGGCTATCACCGTGAAGGGGCCGACCCATGAATATTGAAACTTAGTGGGGGTGCCAGGAGAGCAGGAGCAGCGGCGGTACATAACCGGGTCGCCGACTTGGAACGGGGTGCCGGAGAGACGTCGGTCAAAGAACTCCTTTTGGCGTTGGGCGGCAGTACCGAGTGTGCGACGTTCTATATTGTGGGTGTCACGGATAGTCTCTCGAAGTTGGCTAGCATAAGGATGGAGTGTGATGTGGTCGGAGGCGGGAAGGGGAAAGCGAAGGTCGGATGGAAGTCGGAGTTCTCGACCGGTCCACAGGTAATGGGGTGTGAAGCCGGTCGAGGAATGGGTTGAGCCACGGTAGACTAGTAGGCATAAATGAAGTTGTACGTCCCAATCACGGGGGTTGTTGCCATAAGAGAAGGCGAGGAGGAGGTTTTGAAGTGTGCGGTTAGTACGCTCGACGAGGCCATTGCCTTCAGGGTGGTACGGCATAGTGCGGGTCTTGTGAACGTCAAGGAGTTGGCAGACGTCCCTGAAGAGTAGGGAGTCGAAGTTGCTGCCGCAATTCGAATGGAAGGATGTAGGGGCGCCCCAAAGACTGATCCACGTGCGAATAACTGCATTGGCCACCGAAGAGGCCTTCTGGTTGTTCAAAGGTACGGCTTCTACCAATTTGGTGAAGTAATCTACCATGACGAGTATACACACGTACCCTCGAAAGGAAATGGGTAGGGGGCCCATGATGTCAAGCCCAACACGTTCTCCTGGGAAACCGGCCGTCACAGGTTGCATCGGGGCTCATGAAGGGGGGTTGGGGGATTTGTATGAGGAGCAAATGGGGCAGCTTTGACAGAACCGTACGATGGACGATCGGAGCTGCGGCCACCAGAAGCGGGAACGAATGGCGAACTCAGTCTGGCGCTGTCCGCAGTGTCCTAGATCCTTGTGAATGTCGTTGAGTACAGGGTCCACTAGGCAACTGGGGACGACGGGATGCAATCGATGTGAATCGGGGTCGCGATGAAACATTATGTCATCCTTAATCAGTAGATGTAGCCACTGGTGCAGGAGGAGGCGTGCGTTTAAGCTGGAACCACGCATTTCCTGTTCTCGAGGTTTGGACCGGCCCTCGGCCAAATGGCGATAAATGATGGAGGTATCAGGGT